GATGGATGGATGGAATCGTATCCTTACCGTCAGTGTCTCTACATGTGCAGCTCATCCAGAGACACTGAAACACATCTTGAGACACATTCAACTCATTCTGGACCCGTTTCCAGATGTTTGGATGCTTTTTCACTCATTTTAAGCAACTTTCAAGTCATTTTCGACAGTTTTTTTTACAAATTTTGGACAAGTTTCGAGTCTTTCTTGGACCTTTTGGACACCTTTTTTTTTTCTTCTTTAAATTAATGTTTTTGGTGAATGTTTCCTTCAATAACACCATAAAATAACACATTTAAATCTTCATGCTCCTGATCAGCTTTGACCCCAGACACCCCCTAACATTTAATAATAACAGTCGTGAGCAGAAGGATTCAACACGAGGACAACATGGAAGGACGTTGAAGCTTGGCTCACCAGTAGACGATCCGTCCATCTCGTCCTGCCTGCCCGTGATTCAAACATTTCCATTGGGTGGAAACTCGTGAAAATGTTGTAATTTCAGCTAGAAAAATGGGCAGATGTCAGTTTCAGAGGATTCCTAGAAGGTTTCTACAGACTGAGACGATCAAGCTGCTGACCTCCTCTGATCTCGCTGAGTTGACAAAGAATGATCCATATCAGGTTTGGAGCTGGTAGTTCAGCAGTAACCTCTTCTGTCCCATGATGCAGTGCTGGGAGACCCGTGTAGGTCAGGAGATGTACAAGCTGACGCTGTTCGACTTCCTCATCAACATCGCCACGCTGGTTCTGGCTGAGTTCCCCCGAAGGTACGAAACCCCGAGTCTGGATGAACTAACCTGGATGTGGTGAAACCAGCGTGACGTGTTAAAGTGTGTTTTTGAGTTGCTTTGGATGCGTTTCAGGGCATTTTACACAGTTTAAATTTCATTTTAAAAGGTTTTTGAGATATTTGTGACAGTTTTAAACAAGTTTTCTGACATTTTGGACAAGTGTTAATTATTTTGAACAGTTTTTACCAAATTATTTACCACTTGTGTTGAAACGTTTTGAAAACGTTTGAGTACCTTTTGGACATTTTGATTTTTGAGACATTTCGGACACTTTTTAAGTGATTGTAGACGAGTTTCAGGTCGGGTTGGATCCATTGTGAGACACTTTTAGATTATTTTTGAAAATCTTTAGCTACTTTTGGACCAATTTCGAGACATTTTAATTAATTTTAGGCAAGTTTAAGGTCATTTTGGACAAAATTCATTTTCAGGCCTTTTTGATCAATTCTGTTTCATCGTCATCAAGACGTTTCTATCACCTGTTTCCAGAAGTTTTCAAAGCAGGTTTCATCTCAACAGTCTTCAAGAGGCATAGGTTGGACAAGTTTTAAGATTTTTAGACACTATTTAAATTATGTTTGACAGTTTTTAACTAATTTGGACAAGTTTCAAGAGATTTTGAACAAAGAGACGATACCGGTTCAGTTTTTAGCTCATTTTGGGACATGTTGAACTGTTGTTTAACTAATTTTGGACCACTTTCTAGACACGTTGGATGCTTTTTTGCTAATTTTAGGAAAGTTTCAAGTCATTTTGGACAAAGTTAGAGTCCTTTTTGGGCCCTTTGGGCACTTTTTAAAGCTATTTTGAACAGTTTATAACTCATTTTGACAGTTTTCAAGACATTTTGGATGCTTTTAAACTCGTTTCAGTCCAGTTTAAGTAATTTTGGACACATAAGAGTCATTTTGGACACCTTTAGATCATCTTAGACCCTTTCTGAGT